GGCAGCGTAATGATCTGGGGAAGCTCAGGTCTAGGTCAGCTGCCTACCTGAATATACTGAATGCCCAAGTTTTTCCATCAATTGATTTTTTATTCCGATAGCACATGCATATTTCAAGATGACAATGCCAGGATTCATTGGGCTCAAATTGTGAAAGAGAGGTTCAGGGAGCATGAGACATCATTTTCAGACATGGATTGGCCGCCACAGTGACCAGCCCTTAACCCCGTTGGTAATCTTTGGGATGTGCTGGAGAAGACCTTACACAGAGGTCCGACTCTCGCATTATCAGTACAAGATCTTTGTGAAAAATGAATGCAACTCTGGATGGAAATAAATCATATGAACATACCTGTAGCATTGGCTTACATGCAAGGGAATAGCAGTAATCAAACAAGGTCTTCTTACTCTCCAATCACTATTTCCTGGCTGATGGTGTCTGCAGTTGACCACATACATTAGATCATCTCTAGTAATGGGAAACAATCATATCTATGGCCACCTAAAGAAGGGTGCAGAAGGCACCGTGGGGTTTTATAACAATACAGAAGCACACCTCCATGTGCTCTCACCTTTAAGGGACATAATGGGCTCTCGCTCCAATTGTCATCTTTTGTTCACAAATTTAAAAAAAAAAGCTGGACAAGGTAATCATTGAGTTTTAAATACTTTTAATTAAATTCAACTGAGATTTGGAAATAACACAAATAATTTCAGGAAATTAAAAAAAACAAACTGATATGTCAGCAGTAAAGATGGACATTTCAAGCATATATTTTCTTTTACAAATATTACAATTAATGCACCAAAAGGGAGAATTTAAGGACCCACGTTTCTTAAAGCACACCCTCATTAGAAAGAACAAGATTTGTAATGTACAGATATACTGCTATGTACATACCACGTCTAATAGAATTCAATAGAACACCCAAAACTGACTATCCACACTCAATCACCTCCCTAAGAAAGAAGAAAAAGGCCTGTGAGAAGGAGGCCTAAAACACAGAACAAGGCCTTAAAGCCTAGAATATCATGTTCACATACGATCCACAGGAACAAAAAAAAGACCCTGTTCAATCCTGGTCATTGAAGATAGAGTACAAACAATATATTAAGAAACAAAAAATCATTCTGGTCCATTAGATTTTTTTTTTTTTACAACTCAGTTTACATCCAGGTAAGGACTGGGTGGCATGGACTGAATAAAAAGACTGACAGCTTCTAAAACAAACCTTAACAGTGACAGGCAAAATTAATGTGATCCGTAATTTTACACTGACTCATATTTACTGGCATCACCTGTGTAATTCCAGAGGAAGTGACAGCCAAATTGCCTAAATCCCTCTCCTTCACATCACCCTGAGTGGAAATAATCTTAGCTGTAGAATACTGACTGAGATGAAGATGCAAAACTATTACTGAACCTTTTGTAACTCTTTCACTGCTCTGTGCAGCTAAACCAGAGAATTTCGATACACAACTTGTTTGTACAAATTTTTGCCCCTACAATGGTTCTTGCTGAAAGATTCTACATGTAGTATTGACTAATCTCCAAACCACTAACAGATATCTAGCCCTAAACACCTATGTGAGCTTTCATTCTACTCATATAAGATGCAGCCTTGAAGAAATAATTGTGAGACTCTGCTAGGATTCCGTGACATCTCTTACCCTCAATAAGGGAACAGGCTGCAGGGGTGTAACTACACAGTGCCGATCGAATGCTTGAAACTGGACAAGACTTAGGGTCCAATACAATAATTTAAAGTGAGTCAGTCATAAGTATAAATGGAGCCACATAATAAATGAGTGAGATCACTGTCATAGTAAGGTGAAAGTGTGTCACCTTAGTGCTTTTTGATTAGATATAAGGTCTTTGAACTACTCCTGTCTAGCACCATCTTCCTAACAAATTACCCAGAGATAAAGTCTGCTTCACGTCTGAATCCATCTTTGTCCTCTTTGACATAAGCACATGAGCTATAGGTGAGACTGAAGAAGTACATCACACAACAGCTACTTGAGGGAGCAGACTTTGTGACATGGCTAGGACCCTTATTCACCCAGGATTATGGTGCCTATCATGTACACTAGGAAGGCCTAAAGTAACACACGCATTACTATTATGATCCAATCTTTAATTTACATTCACAGCTACAGGCCTGGATAGTTAGACACGTGCTGACAAATCTAGGAGCTTCTGTACATGCACACTGTTTGAGAAAAACTGTCCTATGCATCAAGGGTCACCAGAAATGGTGGTGAATACAAAGCCTTTCAATAAATGCCCTCGGTTTATTTGGCTCTGATACACTGAGGATAGGTCACATCTGATTGAGCCCTATAAAATAGCTGCCTGAAAGGAAACCTGAAATATAGAGGCCATTGCTGACTTCTGAAAATTCTAGCTGCTTGGCTCATCTCTTTCATATTTCAACTCTTTAAAGACCACCACCTGACCCACTTATACCCACCTTTGCAGTGACCTCCCACTGCTCTGTTATTCATTGAAGCCTTCACAAAATACTCTGTATCAGACCATGTTGGAGTTTACATAGGGTTGATGATGTCACCCCCCTCCGTCATGGGAAAATATTAAGGCCTGGAGATTGGCTGTTCAGGCCCGAGCACTACATCTTGGGAGGAGCTTGTCTGCTCCCCCATAGCTGCATATTTTGTGGTGGCTGTGATAGAGGAAGGAGCACTGTGGAGAGGACTATAAGGGGGTCAAGAGAAGGGACTAGCAAAAGACTGTCGCTCTTCCCTATAAAGGTAAAGTGACCATATCAGAGAGCCCATTCACACCAGGGTGGCTGCGGATCAGCGCGGTGTCTGCGCTGATTTCAAAAGGGTGGTTTTGCGGCCAAAACCGCGCTGATCAGCGCGGTTCCATTGAAAGCTGTATCGAAACCGCACTGATCCACGCAACAAAAAGGGGTCAGGGAGCAGTTCAGGCGGAAGGGGGCGGTTCGGATGGCGCTGAGCTGCGCAGTCGCATGAACGGTCCCCATAGCAATGTATGGGATCGTTCATGTTGGCGGATCTGCATGGCCCTGGTGTGAACGGGCTCTCAAGTCAGAACTTCTAATAATCATTCGTGTTCTGTTGGTTGTAGCTCAGAAACTAGTAAAGCCATCGGAAGAACCTGACATTTTTAGAAAGAGGTCTGCAATGAAGGTGAAGCCAAGTACACATAACACTGTACCGAAACAAATGCAATAAAAATGTGTTTGTTACAGTGATCAAAAAAAAAAGAAATCCTTCATTAATAGAGGGTAATAAAGCCCGATTTCCTGATCCAAGTAATTATTAAACTAATACAATACTATCTCTGATATGTAAATGACAGAATTACTAGTAAATTTGCAGCCAACCTGCCACACACAAGCAGGGGACAAAAGCTCAGGCAGAATGAATGTTTGCAAGGCCTAAAGTCAGAACAGTGGCAGGCTATCTCTGTGAAGACATCTGTTGATATAGCCCGAGGGGATTTAACCCTGCCTTATGCTTTGCGGTTTCTGATTGGAGTCAAACTTCAGCTCTTCAGTTCATTTAGCACAAATTCAAAAAAAAAAATTCTTCTCAGTGTCATTAACAGACTCTATATACAAAAACTTTATCGGCACAACCCTGAACAAATAAACAAAAAAAAAAAAAACAGACTCCTTAACTTTAAAGAATTCTTAGTGAGATGAAAACTGGCTGGATGTTTGATCGAACCACAAGATGGCTGCTTCCAGCTGATGGGTGGCAGGCACTCTTTAAATGAGAAATCAAATTAGTGCAAAAATCAACTCACACACATAAAGAGGAACAAAACAACAGAAGTGCCCACGTGTGCATTTTGTTGTGCATTTTCTCTACTTCATCTATTGGAACATAAAAGAAATCACATTGAAAACTTCTAGCTAATTATAGTGGCCGATTTCAGATATCAGGAAGGGGGTCACAAAAAATAAGTCGCGTCCACTACACAGATGTGGAAATATACAAGGCAACAACAAGACCAATCAAACGTTAAAACACCTCAGTCTTCAACAACAGAAAAAAGTCTTCTACGCCCGGTAAAGATTGGTCTGAAATAAAACATTTAAAATGGATCTGTACAACGACAATCCTGAACTTTTCAAAAGAAAGCTATGAACTAAGGAATATTAAGGACCAAGGTATCTCAGATCTCGTCAAAGGGGAACATTTATAAAAATCTGGGCCACGTACACAAAAGTGTCAAAGTGTGGCATCTGGCGTGCGTATCTAACCTCAGCTGGGAGCCGAGTTGCACAAAGCTCAATGGTTGCATACACACACCTGATGGAACTGATGCTATCCCCCTGCTCAGGAGATCGCTGACCACTGCATCCAATCGGATTCTGGCTGAGATTTTTCTAGTGCAGATTAGAAAGCAAACGCATACAACCGATTGGCTGCAACAACTATCACTCTAATTTAACATAGCTCTAGATTTTTTTTTTTAAATCAGCTCCAAAGGGCCCTCAACAGAAAACAGCCTACATAAATATAAAGCAAACAAACTGTTTATAAGGATGGATTGTTTCCAGATGACAAAATAAATTGTGGAAAAATTCACATTTTTAAGGCCATGTTCTCACGGGAGCGAGTTGCAGTAGGCTCTCCATGGAACGTCTGTCAAGCAGGTAGGTGATTGTAGCTTGCATACAAGCAGCTTCTGAAGACACACAGTGCACCACTGCTATACACTGCCTTCCGTGGCATCAGAATACATTGCAGCAGTGAAAGTGTTACACAAACAGCCTTCATAATGAGGCAATGCAATCCTTGTCACTTAAAGACTCTTGCAGGGATTGTTGTTGTGAATCTGGCATGCCGGTTATGTGGTCCCTTGTCATTTGGTGCTGTTGCATCATTAAGCTTCGTCAGACAATGCTCTTGCCATCATCAGTGTTACAACCAGGGTTGCATCATAGTGCCTAGTGGATGGCTTACTAACAACTTACCCAGGGGGTCCTGCCCCGCTAGTCGTAGAGTTCAGTATAAAAAAAAGTGCTTCAATTGGAAGATTTGCTGACAGCACTGGCAGAGCGACGAAGCTTTCCCGAGACTTTGCTCCTGGTGGCACGTGTTAGTGTCGGAGATGTAGGTTCCGCCGGCTCTGTTCCTGTACTCGATGAGAGATCAGAACTGGTGCTTGCAGGGAGACCTAGGACAGAAAGCAGAGTCAGGGAATATCTGGACTGCAGTGATAAGATTCTCCTGTATAGAGGAGAACAGGTCCTGACAGACAAATGACAAATTCAATAGCTTTATACAGAAATTGGAAACATGATCGCACATAGTTAGCACGAGTGATGCTATTTAATAGATAAGGCCCTCTAAGGTCAGACATTCTTTCAGACTAATGCAGTGTCTCTGAGGTCACTGCTGACTGTCCTCATAAGCTTATCCATACATAAGTCGTGCAGAGAAACACTGGCATGTCGATTTTAGGAATGAGTCACCAATGAGAATACATTTATTTCAGATGAGTCACTGTGACTGATCAAATATCAGAAGCAAGAACTGTTCCCACTGCCCATATCAGACAAATTCAGAGTTTAAGTGGAACTCCATTTAAAGCAAATTTTTTTCCTATCTGGTGGATGCTGGAGAGTTAAAGAGGAACTCTGGGAAATCTATAGATTTACTCCTGCAGTAGTATTACCTTTGCAGTGTAAGGGTTAAGTGTTTGTTTTTCTCCAGGAGCTGGGATAAAGAAGGTATACTCACCTGATCTTTAGTCCTGCAGCAGCAGCGTTCACCTCTCCCTGCTCTGCTCTAACAGTGGAACATCCCTCGGCATCCTCACGTCTACTGCAGCTGCATTAGATGTGATTACATCATTGGTCCTTAGACCGCCAGAGCCCGGGGAGAAGAGGATATGAGGACCAGTCTAGCAGCCAGCCAGGTGAGTGTATTATCTGTATTTTAGCCCCTATACCAAAACAAATCAGTTAACCCTTACACTGCAGGGGTAATCCCAGTTCAAGGGTTATTTTTTAGATTTTCTTGAGTTCTTCTTTAAATATTGTACCAGTGTTACCATTTTTTTCACTAAAAGGCAGGGGCTTGCCAGGAAAATAATACCAATGAAGTCCCCAAAGGATACAAAAAAACGAATCGGCAGCTTAATGCAACAGATTTCACGTTAAACTGAAATATCACCTTTGAGTAGAGTGACCCTTTAATTTTCCCTGCGCAGGAAATGAAGCTCAAGTAACAATAAAAAGACACTGCTTTTTCCCCCCCCGTAGAATAGTAGTATTTTGCTGACTGTTCTTGAGAATTTATCCTGATATGAATAGAATAGTGGTAAAACCTTACACCTAAGGCCCCTGTCACATGGTCTGCCTGTCGGTTTTTCCAGGAGGATCTGATCGGAAGCTCAATGTGACTCTATGGGCAGTCGCATGCAAGTGGTCATTCGTCCGTCTACATTCGGTTACCTCTGAGTCCATCTAGGTCCAGAAAAAGAACACGGAACAAAGTTTTGTTTTGGCGGACCGGATCGTGATGGATCAGAGGTAATCAGATTTGAATGGACAATTGTCGCTTACATCCGACTCTCCATTGACCTAGATATGAGTCTTTTACTCCATCGTAAGATGGAAGAAAGAATCATGCGAACATGGAGGTCACAAGAGTAATATCCATTCCATGCTGCTCTGATCAGCAGGGGCTCTGTGCATGGATCCCCTGCTGATTGGATGGTGCCTGTGTGAAAGTGTGTGTTATGAAATCTTTCCACATTTTCAGCAATGTAAGTATTCAATAATGTGAACCAAACCACAAAAACTGCTCTAATGGCTGCAGCTGATACAGATAAAACCCCTCCTCCCCAAGGTATTGCCATGGTGAGGCTCCACATTTTGTTCAAAAACAAAAATGCTGGGAAGCAATATGGCAGCCAGGCAGCTAGCATTCTCAGAAGCAGAGGTAAATAGCGGCAGCTCCCATGTTTCTATTGTGCTAGGCTTCATTTAAGTACAGAATATTTTCCAAACAAGTCCAAGATCTGGCTGTGCTGTCAAGCAGAGGTGTCTGGATCACAAGCCCGGCCAAACAGAATAAATTATGTAAAAATGTAATTCAATTGTGCTCTTTGGCGTCAGCCAGGAGTTTAGCTTTTAACAATATATGTATGCTAAGTAAAATGCAATACTGCAAAGTGGCTCATACTCTATAAGAGAAATAGAACACCTTCTTGCCATGAAATGTGCTATGCTATGCAGTGCCATGGTTTCTGGGTATGTTAATCACCTGAGTTTCATCTGGTAATTGCTGCAGAGCTCTGTATTTATAGAAGATGGGAAAAGGGCATTAATAAAGGGAGGCAGACAAGGTGACAGGATGACAGCTTTGTTTACCTCGCCCCTAAAACCCAAATAAAGCATAAATTATACAACAAAACCAGCAAGACGATAACATGCTATATAATAGGGCAAATAGCAGCCTGAGCCAGCGGCAGCTTCCTTCAGCGTACACGCTGATATTTTAAACATTAACTTGCAATGCAATTATTCCCTGAAGAGGAAGATGACTGAAGGTCACAACAAAATAGCTTGTCTGAATGGGACCAGATGAGGATGCAGCTATTAAACACACCAGAAAATGAATAAAATTAAAGCCTGTGTGTAACAAATCTTTCCCAGTACAATTAGAATGATGCACCGAGGAATTCAGCAATGTCTGTTGCAATCGAGGACTGTAGTTGCTTTCTCTGTGCGCTTGTCTCCCTGGGCAGCGAGGTAAGAGGGAATTTAATTTCATCACTTACTATCTGACTGCATCATCTTTAAATCATGAGCCAATGCCACAAACAAGCGCATGTGTAAAAACCTCACTGCTCACCCTTTCCATCTGATGGATGGAAGTGATAATGAAGTCCATGCCTTGGAATTTTTAAAGCTGGAGAATACAAATAAGATTTGTGGATGTAAAATACTGCATCCTAGTAGAACAGGTCTAAGGTATTCAAGGATCTAAACCAAGCCAGGTATATCTGTTTAATAGAGATTGGATTAGAGTTCAGTTCAACAGATAGTTGTCTAAACATGCAATGCTGTACTTGAGGAACATATACACTCCACAGACATTAGATGATTAGTCTTCTGATATTACTTTTTCTTTCTCCAGTGTCCACGGGACAAACACATGACAGTCCCGAACAAGCAGTTTTGGGGAAATACACTATATTGCCAAAAGTATTGGGACACCCCTCCAAACCATTGGATTCAGATGTTCCAATCACCTCCATGGCCACAGGTGTATAAAATCAAGCACCTAGGCATGCAGACGCTTCTACAAACATTTGTGAAAGAATGGGTCGCTCTCGGGAGCTCAGTGAACTCAAGCGTGGTACCGCGATAGATTGCCACCTGTGCAATAGGTCCATCCATGAAATGTAATTGCTACTAAATATTCCACAGTCAACTGTTAGTGGTATTATAACAAAGTGGAAGCAACTGGGAAGAGCAGCAACTCAGCTACGAAGTGGGAGGCCATGTAAAATGACAGAGCGGGGTCAGCGCATGCAGAAGTGCAACAGTGCGCAGAAGTTGCCAACTGTCTGCAGAGTCAATAGCTACAGACCTCCAGACTCTGTGTGGCCTTCAGATTGGCACAACAACAGTGCATAGAGAGCTTCAAGGAATGGGTTTCCATGGCCAAGCAGCTGCATCCAAGCCTAACATCACCAAGTGCAATGCAAAGTATAGGATGCAGTGGTGTAAAGCACGCCGCACCACTGGACTCTAGAAAAGTGGAGACGTGTTCTCTGGACTGAATAATCATACTTCTCTGTCTGGCAATCCGATGGACATGTCTGGGTCTGGCGGTTGCCAGGAGAACGGTACTTGCCTGACTGCATTCTGCCAAGTGTAAAGTTTGGTGGAGGGGGGATTATGGTATGGGGTTCAGTTTCAGGGGTTGGGCTTGCTCCTTTAGATCCAGTGAAGAGAACTCTTAAGGCATCAGCATATCAAGACATTTTGTACAATTTCATGCTCCCAACTTTGTGGGAACAGTTTGGGGATGGCCCCTTTCCGGTTCTAACATGACTGCACACCAGTGCACAAAGCAAGGCACATAAAGACATGGATGAGCGAGTATGGGGTGGAGAACCCTGACTGGCCTGCACAGAGTCCTGACCTCAACCTGATAGAACATCTTTGGGATGAATTAGAGCGGAGACTGCCAGCCAGGCGTTCTCGTCCAACATCAGTACCTGACCTCACAAATGCGCTTCTGGAAGAATGGTCAAACATTCGCATAGACACACTCCTAAACCCTGTGGGCATCCTTCCCAGAAGAGTTGAAGTTGTTATAGCTGCAAAGGGTGGGCCAGCTCAATATTGAACCCTACGGACTAAGACTGGGATGCCATTAAAGTTCATGTGCGTGTAAAGGCAGAGTGCCAAAACTTTTGGCAATATAGTGTATAGAGACTGGGCAGATTAGAAGACCATGCATGATCCTTATTGTTTTCTCTGACGTTGGGACTGTCTGTACACACCTTCCTCCCTTGTATTTATGTGACTAGAGCCTGCTGGTTTAATAGACAAACAGGCCACATCCAAATATTCTTCAAGATCTATGGCCAGCTTTAGTACCAATCTAGGCAAACAATTTCTACCAGCTGGTAAATTTCCAACCTTACTGTATGATTTTTACCTTAATGTATTATTTGCTGTTTAGGGGTACCTTTGTAATGGTCACAAAGGATGCAATGTCCTGAACATTTCTTGTGATAAATGATAGTGCATTGGCTATTAAATAAGAGAACACAAGTTTGCCCGCAGTGAAACTGCTTATTATTTCTGCCAAAATATTTGAAATTATATGATCATGATTGTGGCCATAGTGTTATGTCATCACAATATGTCTACAGATGAAGACAACGAGCATCCGAAGCCTCCCAATTCGCTTTCTTGCTTTCTGTAATACCCACAGCTGTCAGATAACTGCTACCAGAACCTGCCGGTGATGTGCCTACAGGCTCAACAGACAGTTTTCTGCCCAATGGCTCCAAGGAGATTGAGTCCAATATTTATCTTTCCTCATGATAATTGTTACTGTAAAAAAAATTAAACAAATATAAAACTATCTGTTGCATTAACATGCTCGCGGTATACTGAGCCTAGGGTGACGGGAGGACGCTAGTTT